TTGCGCCGAAATAAAGCCTGCTCCATCCTGCTACAACCTGCTGTGTATGACCTGATATCACAACACTACATCTAAAACTCTGCACAAAGTTCTGCAGAGCCTGTAACACAAAACCGACAAAATCAGCAACTTGAAACTAACAACACACAACACAACAAATAACAAGACAAAAGGATTTGAAAGAAAATGGAAAAAAAGTTTTTGGTTCTTGGTTAAAAGAGAGACGGTAGGAAGATAAAAGGAGGAACCAAAAAAAGAAACTCTGTAGAAAAACAAAACCTTCAATCTTCAAAACCAGAATCACCTTCAATCTTCAAATCCGGAATCACATTCAATCTTCAAAACTGAAAACCCCCTTCACCTTTTCCAGCAATGAACATCACCCCCACCACTCTTTTCATTTTCACAACACAAACTGACTCTCCTTTTATCATTGACCCTCTTTTTTCTGCCTTCCTCCTTCTACTGTTCAACACACAGACCCGACACAACCTTCTTCTTTGTTCCATTAGATCCTTCAAACCCAGAACACGAAGAATGAATCAGAGAGAATCAAAACAAAAAGAATAAGAAGAGAAAGACACAATGAGAAACCTCACAACCGCACTTTCGAATCCATTTCGTGAATCCACCGCGTGAGAAAGAACAGAACGGCAGGGAGAGGAAGAAGAAGAGTTGATCGCGTTTTGCTTGTGAGTTCAACTTTCATCAACCGTTCCTTTTTTTTCCACTTTTTTTAGGTTTTAATTTATCAAAGAAAATCGGGTCAATAAGGGCAACCCGCTCCGCCCCAACCTGACCCGACTTACTTTTTGGGTCGTCTCTCCTCCACAATCTCTGACCCATATTTTTTTTAGTCTTTTCTTGTTTTTAATTTTTTTTGAGTTGTTTGTTAATTTAATTAAGATTTAAACAAATTGATTTTAGACTTAGTTTAATTTAGTTTTAGTTCTAGAAATTAGACTTTTAGTTAGATTTTAGTTTGTATTAATTAATTAGTTTTTTTATTAGATTTTAATTTAATTAGTTATTTAGTTTTTTTATTAGATTTTAATTTAATTAGTTATTTAATTTTTTATTAGATTTTAATTTAATTAGTTATTTAGTTTTTTATTAGATATTAATTTAATTAGTTATTTAGTCTTTTATTAGATTTTAATTTAATTAGTTAATTAGTTTTTTTATTAGATTTTAGTTTAATTAGTTATTTAATTTTAATTAAATTAGTAATTTAGCTTTTATTTAGATTTTGGTCTAATTAGAATTTGTTTTAATTAGATTTCACTTAGTTCTTAAGTTAATCTTGACAATCCTCGATTTCATTACGGATAATTTCTTAATTTGATACCTTTGAAGCTTCCAATGCCAATTTTGGATTAAGTGTTGATCAATCATTGTCGCCTTTAGTTTGACTTGATTCTTGAGAAAATTATTGAATTATTTTTGCCTTGATTGACTAGTTTACTCTTGATGCTTGCTGATACTTTTTTACTATGTCCATGAGTTGTTGATGAGTGTTTGGTGTTCTCTTAATTCGTTCTTGATTGTTATCATTTATGCTTAAAGCTTCATACTTGCTCCTCATTGTTTCATCCAACCTGATTTCAAATGAGGGTTTCTCTTGTTGACTTGTAAGCCATACCTTTAGAATAATTTAGTTGTTTTCCCTACCCATTTCATGACCTTGTTAGGATCTTTCTCTTGCCCTTGTTAGAGCCATTTTGTCTTACAATTTAGAATTAAGTTTAGAGTTTGTAAACTCTATGTGAGTATCTTTATTATGAGCACTCACTTTCCCCTTTTTACTTTGTTAGAAGTCAACCCTGTAGTTAGCCTTTCATTTTATACTTAGAGAGTTGGTTAACTCTAAGTAAGTATCATGGTTATGAATACTTACTTCCCATTGGAACCTTGATCGTTATCAAGAGTTTCTCATCCCTAGTTAGGTGAACTATGAAGACTCTTATTTCTCATTCCTAGTCAGGATACGTAGGCCCAAGATGCGATATCTTGTCCAGCCCTCTAACCACTAACAACTAATAACTAACTCCCCTTATCTTTCTCCACCGCGCGATCGAGACTAATTTACCTTACCTTTTATCCTAGCCTTAGTATTATAGTCGATGTATTCTATGTGAGTGTCATGGTTATGAACACTTACTTTTCTTGTTGATCTAACCTTAAGTTTGAGTCGTCGTACTTCATGTAAGTGTCATGGTTATGAGCACTTACTTTCCCCTTTGGAGTTTTGACCATAGTCAAGAGTTTATCACCCGTAGTTAGGTGAACTACAAATGCTCTGATTCTATCATATTCAGGATACGTAGGCACGAGATGCAATATCTTGGTGAACATACTTAGTGTATACATCCTAGTTCTTTACCTTAGCATTTTTCCTTTAGCAAGCAAACTTTAGCATAATACAAATACTAACAAGAGGTTTCTGTAGAGTACTACAAATACTTAGAATGCTAACACATTCCCTAGGCATAACCAACCCCTAAACTTTAGATCTCTTAGCTTCGTTGTTACGTAGCGTACTTAGGATTTTCTTCGATTTTTACCATTTCCTTTGGATAAATCAAAGCTCGGTGGTGAACTTTATGATATGTGATTCAAGTTGATTAATAACTTGATATCTGATGCTCACCGCAACAGTTGCCTTGGAAAACAAGCAGGAATATCAGATTAATTATCATGAGACATTTGCACCAGTTGCCAAATTGACAATTGTTCGCACTCTTCTTTCTTTAGATGATTCTAACGGGTGATCTCTTTATCAAATGGATGTCAAAAATACTTTTCTTCATGGTGACCTAACTGAAGATATTTATTTGACTCCACCCCAAGGTCTATTCTCTTTGTCTAAGGGTATGTGCAAACTTAAATGTTCCTTATACTGGTTGAAATAGGCACCCAGGGCATGGTATGAGAAATTTCGCTCCAGTCTACTTGGGTTCTCCATTACACTGAGTCAATATTATTCCTCTCTACTTATTCATTACGCAACTGAGGGTATTATTCTACTTCTTCTGTATGTTGATGATATGATTATCACCGGTTCAGATAATTTGCTTCTATTGAGCAACTTAAACAACAGTTACGTGCCTCATTTCATATGAAAGATCTTGAAAACTTGCATTATTTTCTTAGTCTTGAGGTTCATTCTACGTCTAAGTCACCTTCCTTTATCAACACAAGTATGCCACATATTTGATTTATATGGCTGGTCTTCAAACAACTAATCTGATGGACACTCTCCTTGATGTTAATGTTAAATATCATCCTGATGATGGAGATCTTTTGTCTGATCCCTTATTGTATCGGCAACTCGTGGGTAGCCTTAATTACTTTACTATTACTCGCCTCGACATATCTTTTGTTGTTCAACAAGTCAATTCATGCATTCTTTCATCCATTTTCACCTGGAAGCAATTCGTCATCCAATTCACTGCTTAAGAGGAACTTTGCAATGTGTTTTATTTTTTCCTTCCAGAATGGTCTCTCGATGGAGTCCTTATAGTGATGTTGATTGGGCGAGGTGTCCTGACACTCGACGATCTCTCACCGATTAGTGTATGTCTCTTGGCTTATCATTGATCTCATAGAAAAGTAAGAAGCAAACAAGAGTTTCTAAATATTTCGTTGAATATGAGTATCATGTTATGTGTGTTGCTTGTTCAAAAATAATTTGGCTTCACAGTCTTTTGAGTGAGCCTGAATTTCCTCAAACAAAGCCTACATCGCTTTATGCTGACAATACAAGTGTCATTCAGATTGTTGCAAATCTTGTTTTTCACGAAAGCACCAAGCATACCTATGATGATCAAATAATATCACCTCCTCATATTAGTACTCAATTTCATGTTGCATATATTTTTACGAAAGTTGTTCCTCGTCCACGTCATTAATTTCTTATAATAAATTGATACTTCTTAACACATCAATTTGAGGGAATGTTAGTATATAATGATTCGATATGATTTGATTTTCCGAATACTTTACATTCTTAAAATAAAATAGAAAATCAAATAAAAAATATTTATAATTAATTATTATAAATACTCGCATAATTATAAATATAAACAATACTATAAAGGCATCAAACCAGAATTTCTAATAAAACTCACATTGATATATATATATATATATATATATATATATATATATATATATATATATATATATATATATATATATATATATATATATATATATATATATATATATATATATATATATATCAACCGTCACTATCCAATGATTTTGAAATTTTTTAGATAAACACTCCAGTATCCCTCCTAAGTTAGGTACCAATATCCTTATCCAATAAAACATTCATATTTAATATCATTTAATTTTTTATATATTTTTTTTCAAAAAAAATAAATTAATATTTTAAATCAATTTTGAATAAAGATACCCAAGTACTTATCATACAAAAACTTTTTCAAAAGACAAACCTTGAGTATTTATTTGGTCTACATGATAACCTAGACCCTTTTGCAGCTATATGCATTGTACCTCATAACAACAATACTATTTTGCTTCATACCCTCTTCAATTGCTTGGAGAATCTATTCACAAAAAATCTCCAGTTTCCTATTTGTCTACAATAGTAACTCTTGATTTGTCCTAATTTCATTGGTAGTTTCTAAAGAAAATGAAGAATTTTTCAGTACAGTGCCTGTTTGTAGCGTGGACAATACGCCACGTGTTGCACTCTCAACCCTCTTTTTCTTTCCTATGATGCCACAAAATTTTCTCATTTTAATTTTGTCACCAAAATCCCCAAAAAGGTATTATGAAAAATGATTATTATGAACAAGAAAATAAAGTGCTCTCTCTACTTTGCTTAGGGAGAAAGCTTAAGCAGAGGAAGAGAATTCCATGGATGATAGTTGATAACTTGCCATCACTTTTATTGAGTTTGAATTCTGTTTCTTATACTCTTAACATGTGATAATAGTTTCTCAGTTTCAGTATTCACATATGTACTAATGGCTATAAGTGATTTAATTTCCAACACAAACTTCACTTCTTTCATTGCTTCAGGTTCTTCTTCTTCAACCACTCACCTGGTTTTATCTTTTTTATTCATTATTATGGTATGATTTGTTTAGAAATTAGTTTGAATTTTGTTCTTCTGAAACCCTATAGGTTTGAATTATGTGGATCACTATATTTTAAACTAGACTTAAATGCAGTTTTGATCTACGGTTTTAGTTCCCTCATCTCTAAATATGTTTTTAGTGTCTTTATTTTGAAATTGGCAGGAAATTATCAATTGAGAAAGGATCTATCACTTCAAAGAGGAAGCATTTTTAGTGTTCATCATGGTGGCCAGATTGCAAAGAACCTCTTTGCAAGAAAAATAAGCCATATTGAACAAAGAGAAGTATATGGACTAGGAGTAAGAAAGCTTAGTAAGGTAAATAGAGCCTGTGTTCATTACAGGTCAGAGGAGTATGACATTGATGAAACAAAGGTGGTTCCTGTGGTATCTGATGAAGGAACAGGCGAGGCACTGGTTTCTCCTTGGTGGCGGCGGCTTCCTAAGCGCTGGCTTATCGTATTGCTGTGCTTTACTGCATTTCTTCTATGCAACATGGACCGTGTTAGTATCTTGTTTTGGTGAATACAGTTTAAATTACTATGTATCAGTGTATGTTAGGATTGGTGGTGGATCATCATTAGTGTAGCTTTTACACTACAGTCGTTCTGTCAAATTCACTATGTCATTTATATGTCTGTGTTTGCCATGTCTCAAGTTTCTGATATGTACCGTCGTAGACTATATAGACTCCTTTATATCATAAATGTTCTTTCTACTATTGTAATATACAGGTAAATATGAGCATAGCGATACTTCCAATGTCACAAGAGTTTAACTGGAACAGTACAACAGTTGGCTTAATTCAGTCGTCTTTTTTCTGGGGCTATTTACTCACTCAGGTGTAAATTCTATGCCAAATACATAGATTAGCCTAACAAGAAATTGATTTCTTGTATCAATCTTCTACAATGCATAACATTTTAATGGTGAAAGAACATATGCTAGTACGTTGAGATTTTCACACTTTCTATTTTATTGTTGAATTTGAATCAAACTGACATTATATGATGGTTTTCTTTTCTTTAGATTCTTGGTGGCATATGGGCAGACAAACTTGGTGGGAAGGTAGTGCTAGGTTTCGGAGTTGTTTGGTGGTCAATGGCAACAGTTTTAACACCTATTGCCGCAAGACTTGGACTCCCTTATTTGCTTATTATGCGCGCCTTTATGGGAATTGGCGAGGTTGGTACATTAAATAGTAGCTATACTAAAATAAGCTGAAAATAGCTTATGAGTATATCGTAAGCTATTTCATATATTTTCTGCGGCGAATGTTAGTAAGTTAGCATTAATGTTAAGTCAGTCTTATATCTTTGTTAATTTTGCAAGTTCTACCAAACATTTGCGAAGTACTTATATCACCAGATAAGTTTTAATAATCTTTTTCAAACGCGCTCTCTTAACACAAACTAGTGCTAATTATTTGTTTTCAGGGTGTGGCGATGCCTGCCATGAATAATATATTGTCGAAGTGGATTCCAGTTTCAGAAAGAAGTAGATCACTTTCACTAGTATACAGCGGCATGTACCTTGGTTCTGTGGTAGGCTTGGCATTCTCACCTTTTCTGATCCAAAACCTTGGGTGGCCATCGGTGTTTTACTCGTTTGGATCCCTCGGAAGTATTTGGTTTGCTTTTTGGTTGCAAAAAGTAAGTCAACTTTCCCTTAATTTGATCAAGTCTACTTCATGTATCTAAATATCTTTCTTTGCAAGTAAACTCGTTTCCTTCCAGGCATATAGCTCACCGAAGGATGACCCGGATCTCGGGGCGGAGGAAAAAAGGCTCATACTAGAAGGCGGTGTATCAAAAGCGCCGGTTTCAGATATTCCTTGGAAATTAATTCTATCAAAAGCGCCAGTTTGGGCTCTTATAATCTCGCATTTCTGTCACAATTGGGGGACATTTATTCTATTAACATGGATGCCTACTTACTACAATCAGGTTATTACTTACAAACTTTTATAGTAAACTTGAACGCTTCGTTTAATACATTTTTTACATCACTTTCTATAGTTGGATGTATCTTTGCAAAGAATTTGTAGGATTTACTACATCACAATTTCCATTTAGTCCATTGAACCAACAAGATAATGGACTATTATCTCAGGTTTTGAAGTTCAACCTTACAGAATCTGGGCTCTTATGCGTTCTTCCGTGGCTAACAATGGCTGTTTTTGCAAATATCGGAGGTTGGATAGCTGACACATTAGTTAGCAAAGGCGTTTCCATAACAGCTGTTCGAAAAGTAAGATAATCATTCACAGCTGCTTCCGGAATTCATTTCACTCTTCAAAATGATTATGCTCTTAATATTGATGGACATGGCAGATCATGCAATCGATCGGGTTTTTGGGTCCCGCCTTTTTTCTGACACAACTAAGTCATGTCAAAACACCTGCCATGGCAGTATTATGCATGGCATGCAGCCAGGTTTGAGCTAGATCAACATTTTTTTTTTCATTAGTCTGAAATCTTATATTTTTAGTGTTTCTTGTTCTACAAGTTTCTACTGATTATGAACCATTAATGCCAATACCACATGTTTGGATAAGATTTCAATATATGCAGAAACCTAATTCAAACCGAAATATATATTTTTTACAGGGATCTGATGCATTTTCACAATCTGGTCTTTATTCTAATCACCAAGACATTGGACCGCGATATGCCGTGAGTAACTGTTTCCTAATTTACGATATACCATAAAAAATAAACTGTCACATATGAGTTTATTTTTGTTTATTCAATATGTCTATATCATAATGCTCATGAGTTTCAATTTCAGGGCGTATTGCTGGGACTATCGAACACTGCAGGAGTTCTTGCTGGTGTCTTTGGCACAGCTGCAACTGGATATATACTCCAAAGAGGTCTGAGAATTCTCGACATTCATTTCGGAGTTTACTTCTTTGCAACTCATATCTTGGTTTTCACTTATATGTGATTTTTCATTGCAGGTTCTTGGAATGATGTGTTTAAGGTTTCTGTTGCATTGTACATAATAGGCACATTAGTATGGAATATCTTTTCAACTGGGGAGAAGATTCTTGACTAAAGAGTGTGATGATGTCAAGGAAAGTGTGGACTATATAATATAAGAATGAAGATATAGAAACAAATGAACAAAAATGTCTTGTAAAGTTATACCCTCCTAAAGAAGAAAAAAGTACACCATGGAAGTTTTCACCAAAAACCATGGCCTTTATTTTAACTTCTCATATTTTGTAAAAAATAAAATACCCTCTAAAGTGAGTTTACATCTAAAGTATGCAAAGGTATACATAGCTCCGTAACTCTGACAATACTGAGAAAAAATGTGTCCGCATCAGTATCAGTATTTGAAACTGACACACACTCGTGATTACATTTATGTTTAGTTTATTCATTTTTTAAAATTATTTTCAGTACTGATGTGTTAGTGTCAGTGTCGTGTTTCTGGCGTTTATGCTTATATAACTTTATTGGATGAAATTACAATACATATGAGATGATATTAAATGACCTTGTTTATTTTAGAACCAAACTCACTTTATAAGGACATATTTTTCCCCTTTTGCATATACATTTTATGCACATAAAAGTTGTCATAATTTCCTTCCATGAAAACTTTATCTATAAACACAACCAAGTTTAATATATACATGTTACTTGAGTTTTACTTCATGATATCTAAATAGAAATTAGATTGATCATATTTTTATCAAACCTATCTAACAAATAATATAGACATTTGTTTATCTATCAAAAAATTTCCATTTGTATGTATATCTTGGTAGATCTATCGGGACAAAATTTGACAATTAAACTCTCTGAAATATTGAAAGTATCATACACAACACAACATTGTTTTCACTATAGAAAAAAATTGTTTTGAATCACCATACTAACATTGTTTTCACTATAGAAAAAAATTGTTTTGAATCACCATACTTCTTCCGCTTTTGATTAAGGAATTTTTTTTCCTACCTCTAAGTTCTCCCAAATCTTTTACGAAAAGTAAAAAATGTTCTTTATTTTTGGAGATGTATTTTCGAAAGCACTGTTTTTTCACAAAATAAGTGCAAATGGATGAACATCTCTCACTTTGCAAAAATTAAATTCGAAGACGCATCTCCAAATGTGTTTTAAAGTTTATCCGTAGATGCATCTCTGGATTAGCCTTTATTTTCAAATTCAGGTGTTTTTTTGAAGATACATCTTCGAATGTGTTTAATTATTGTATAACGCGCGTGACAGACCCTTCATCTTCTCCTTCTTCATTTTCTGAAACTTTTGAGATACCTCTATTAGAGCACTTGAGCAACATTCTTCCATAGGAGTTTTCAAGAATTAGCACAACCTCTACTTCAAGCTTTGCAACCCCAACTCACTCTACTTACTACATTCAACATTTTCATCCTCAAACACTTTTTTTGAGTAAATTTCTCATTTAACTTTTTTTAAGTATTGATTAATGTATTAGGCAAAATAAATTGTTTTAAATGCATTAGGTAGTAGTCACATTCGAAATAGATAGTTGTTAGAGACATGCACTTTTATTTGGTTGCATTTTGGGTTGTTAGGGTAAGGTCGGTCTAAGTTTTTGCCATTGTTGAGAAACACGAGCTTATTCGAAAATGCATCTCCAAAGTGTGTCTTTACTGGTTTTAGAAGATGCATATCCAAAAATGTTTTGATATGTCATGTTCTCGTTTTTTCAGAAAAAATAGACACAAACAACATTGATAGATTGAAATTTGGTCGTAAAACCTAGTACGCGTTCGTTCAACGTGAGAGAGCTAGACTTCAGAATAAGCAGACTAGGGTTAGGCAGGGAACCGTCCATAGGCCTCTTGACGGGGAAGCATCGACTTATAGAAGTCGCCTGTCACATGGGTCCTCATCCCAAGGGAACGCCTCCCGTGCTCACGAAGACCGGAAGGAAGCTCCTATTGTACATACACTTGCAGAACCTTATTTAGGAGGGCCCACTGACGCCTCCTTACTAATATACTATAGAGATCATGTTGTTGAGCATGTCTGAGTCGAAGAGGTATATTTGTTAACGGTTGTTATTAATGTGTTATAAATAAATTCCCTGCGGCTGATAGTTATTTTTTTAACAGGAGCGCAAATGTTTGAAGTCTGTTAACCACAACAGTAAGATTTTTGCAGCCTTATAAACTTGAGGATGATTGGTTCTAAAGTGTCATTTGATACTCCATTCTTGTCAGCTTGTGTTGCTCTGGGTACAAGACCATTAGCCTTGGCAAGCATGGGGCTTTTATTGAGAGATGACATAAAGAAATGTCATCTTTCCACTTTTCCATTGGTGAGATAACGATTACACTAGATGACGTCGCTCTCCTTTTACACATTTCCATTAGGGGGAAGTTACTTGATCATTCTAGGATCAAATGTGATGAAGCCTAAGAGATTATGGTCATTTACTTGGGAGCTAACCCAATTGATATCCTGATGCAGTGTGAGAGCACCAGAGGCGCTCATGCCAAATTCTCATACTTGAAGAAACTTTATAAAGAAAACTTGGAGTTGGCTGATGAAATCGGCAACAATGATCTACAGGTTACCTATCACTGGAAGTGTGCTTTGAGGTGTTTTCCCATATTCTTAGTTTGCACGTACATGTTTGTGGACAAAAGTGTAACATACGTCGATGTGGCATATCTTAAGTATTTCATCGACTTGTTAGTCATTCACAAATGGAACTGGCGGCCGCCTGTTCAGTATACCTGTACTTCAAGCTGAGCGAATGTACTCTTTAGACGGCAAGGAAAATGACAGACTATTTCACCCTGCTGACGATAATTTCCATAGTCACTATTAATTTTAAAAGCATTTTTTCACACTTGTTACTAATATTTTTTTCTTATTCGTTTTCAAGGATGAGTCATATCCCACTTTCACCGTATACACAAGTTTGATCGTGTGGTAGACTATATTGAGGAATGACCACATGCTTACATGTATTTCTCGCACAGAGAGAATGATATTATATAGTCGTTCTGTATGTATATTGACTTGACTCAACATGATGACATCACTTGGACTTTATACACCACTCACTGGGACATTTTTTCCTTCGACCTCATTTTATTTTCCTCCGGATGGCTGACATGTGGGAGGAGTATGATATGAAGGTATATTTCAGAGCGATGCATGTGCCAATTTGGATATGTGCAGATCATTCTGAGATTCCTCTTCGAGTGTGATCCTAAAAACATCATTCGCAGACATATTGATGACACACTAGCGGATTACGAGAGTCATCTGGTACCAGAGGAGTATTAGAGTATGTCAGCCACAATTCAGTAGTCTTATGTGGATGGTTACATGAGTTGGTTCTATAGTGTGTCACACCCTATCAAGACATGAGACGCTCCTGGACGTCCAACTAGGCCTGCTCATGAGGATATCCTGGAGAATGAGCAGGTCAGAGATGACCATGCCATTGATGTATTGTGATATGTCAAAATATTATGCGTATTACGTATGAGGGCATAAAGTCTAGGTTGTTTGAGAGAGGTGATGATGATACATTTTCCCTCGCGTGTGCCACTATTACGGAGTCACAGAATGCCTTGGGTTACCGGCAGCAGAGGAGGAGCCATGAGGTTAAGATTAGGAACATGTAGTAGGTTATGTTTTTTTTTTTTTTTTTGTATTTTGAGATGTTTGAGTTTTATTTTCTATACTTTGAGAATAATTTTTGTAATATTATGGGATGTTTTTTTAATTAATGCATTGCATTTTTCTATGATGTCCATGTTTTTTAATGTTTGAATCAAATTATAGCACTGCTAGTCTGATTAAAATAACTTTTAATTAAAAAAAATACAAACTTAGGACAATGTTTCTACCTAAGATGCATGTAGGTAAGATTTCGGAGATAAATATCTAAAATAATGTTGTTTGAATAGCTTAAAATGCACTCAGTGGTGTTTCGGAGATGCATCACTGAATATGCTCCATAAAATTTTGCAGATGTATCTCCGAACTAATTTTTGGTAAAACTAGGATGATTACTTGATTTACGAAGGATGGGGTGCTTTAAGGTACGTCTGGAGATGCATGTTCAAAAACACCTAAGAACAATTTAGAGTTTTTCAGAGGTGTGAGCCACACCCTAAGAGTTGGAAAAGAAATTGTCTTTGATTATAAGAGTTACTTTTGGAATCAATGAATGAAGGTGATGGTATTCCCTCCTTAATTTGTGATACGATATAGTTAAGGCATCAAAATTTCTAATATATGAAAAATGATTACAGACATTCCTATTTATGAGGGTTGAAGCAAATAATGGATTTCCTTTTTGAACCTTGAAATTATACATTCATACTTAGGAATTCTGAAAATGAGATTCACAAAAGTTTTGAAAATATAAGCATTGATTATCCACCATATATATTGAAATTTTTAAGCCACATTATTCTTCTATAAATAGAGTGAAGCGTTTTATTGTTTTATCAAAAGAGAGAAAAATCAAGAGTGATTGTGAGAAATAGTGTCAGGACCTCTTTGATTTTACTACTACATTCTCTTTATTTTTGATTCCACATAGTGTCAATTTTGAGTTCATAGAGGAGGAAAATTATACAGACATTTTCCAATAATAGCATCGAAGCTCTTGAAGCTCTGAGATCCATATAAGTGTCAACTAGTTTATGATCTATAAGACACATCTCCTCCATAATATCAAGAGTGTACTTCTTCTAAGAGATAGAAATACTTGACTATGATTGAGTCACCTGAATTTAAGAAAGTAGCGTAAAGGACCCAAGTCTTTGGTTTGAAAATTCTAAAACAAGTGTTGTTTTAATTATTTGATACCATCATAATTATCACTTAAGATCATGTCATTAACATAAATCACAAGAAGATATGTTTATTTGACTATGAGAATTTAAGAAACATAGAATGATCTGATGCGCAAAAGGTTATCTTAAACTATTGTAAAAATTTGTTGAATCAATCAAACATGTTCGGTATGATGATTATTTCATGTCATATAAAGAATTTTGAAATTGGCATGCCAAACTACACTCGTCTTGAGCA